TACCCCATACGGGTGCAGAGTCTAGAAATGTTTCCAGTGGACTCCATGTTGCCGGGCCATGTACAATAGGATGGTAAACAGTGCATTGGAATGCTACGTTACTGTCCTCAGCATCAGTTCCAGCAGTGCCACAAGACAGTAGGATGACAATAACAGCATAGTCGTCGGCGTCTTTTGAAAAAAAACATAATAGAGTAAGACGGACCGGCTCTGTGCTTGCAGTGCTCCGGCCGCACATCTCATCCGAGCATGCTTGAAATCAAGATTCCCGGAATCTTGTGTAGCCTGAGATGGCGACATGAGACCCCACCTACGGACACCAGCTGCACAGTCTCCCGAGCTGATACCGCTCTCCTCGGGCCCCCGTATGTTTCAGGTTCTCCAAACTCAATTTGGACTCGTGAGGCTGTGGAAATTTATCCGTGCAGTCAAAGGTACACTTCCGTTTGCTCCTCTGAAGGGGCTTTCTGGAACTCTGATTTTTCAGAAACATGTGATGCATGTGATGATTCTGTTTTCTCGCAGCGGCGAGACTTCAAGCAGGTCTGGCACGTTGCAAATGTGCCATGACATGGAAGTCAACCTTGGCTCCCACTGACGCTTAATGGATGTCTCAGAGTAGTTGTCGTCTGCCTCACTGGACGTTGGAGCCAAAAGCCTGTCCCAAGGACAGCTGAGCGGAGGATGCCACCCGAATGCCGTTGCCGCTGTCGGCAAAAGTGGTTTCGACCCATACTGGAGTTTCGGTAGTTCTGCAGGGCTTTCTTGATGTATGGCCGTACAACGCAGAAAAAGCTTTCTGATACGTCATGAACAACCGGCGTAGTATATCTGCATGTATAGTCAGGATAGTCATCATGCAGGGTTGCCTACTCGCACGCACGCATAGTATGGCTTAGATTTCGTCCGCATAGTTACATTCGGGTCCATTTAGTTGCGTGTGTATGCACGTATGTATGTCTGTATGTATGTATGTATGTATGTATGTATGTATGTATGCATGCAATATGTATGTATGTATGTATGTCGGTAATCATATATATATATGTGTTTATATGTATATGTGTGTGTACGAATGATTGGAATGGAATGGAATGGAATGGAATCGAATGGACTAACATGGAATAGAATGAAACGAATGAATTAATGAATGACTGGATGGGATGGAATGGAATTGAATTCCCTAAAATGAATGAACTATTGAAAGAATGACGGGAATGAATGAATTAATGAATGGAAGAAATGGCGGGAATGACTGATTTAATGTTTAATAAATGACGACAATGAATTAGTGAATGGAAATGGGACGGAATGAAATGAACTGAAATGACATGATCTGATATGCATGTATGTAATGTCTAGATGCACGTATGTATGTATGTATGGATGGATGGATGTATTGTATGTATTGTATGTTATTGTGTGTAGTTGATGTACTGTATGTATTGTATGTATTGTATGTATGCATGTATGTATGTTTGCATGTATGCATGTATGCATGTATGTATTGTACGTACATACATATGTATGTATGTATGTATGTATGTATGTATGTATGTACGTATGTGTTTTCAAGAAAACCAACTGATATCTGTCTGTTCCTGTGCATCTGGAATTATGGCATGCAGGGATGTGTGCATGCGCACACATGCATGCATGGATGGATGGATGGGTGGAGGTGTGTATGAATGAGTGCATCCATGGAGGTCGGTAGGTACGTAGGTATGGGTAGGTATGCATTTTGTTTACATACATACATATGAACGGACGTATGTATTCAGATACATACGTGCGTACATACACAGACAATCACAGACAGGCAGGCAGGCAGGCAGACAGACAGACAGAGACAGGCATAAGTGGGAGGGGTCCACCCTCTCACCCTTGCCCTGACGAAAAAAAGACAGACAGACAGACAGACAGACATGTTTGCAACATTACATTGCCATAGCGTGTGTGTGTGCGCTTATGTCGTGTTTAGCAGTTTAGACTTTTCTATGAATCATGATCAGGCATATACATACAGATGTATACACCATGATATGTTCACACTGCTATGGTAACTTTTGAAGTATACAACTCTGCGTTGTACATGTAGGTTTTGTGTCTGTGAGCACGTAGGCGAGTGCTTCTCTGTGGCTACACCTTTCTGGCTCTCTCTCGCTCGCTTGCTCTCTCGCGCTCTCTCTCGCTCTCTCTCTCTCTCTCTCTCTCTCTTTTTCCTTCTCTCGCTCTCTCTCTCTCTCTCTCTCCCTCTCTTTTTCCCTGTTTTTCTCTCTCCCGCTTACTGGCTCGCTCCCTCGCTATCTATCCCATGCTGCCGGTCGCGTCGTGAAATTGTCAGTCGGTGAGCCTGTCTCATTCAGCCAGGCATTCGGCCAGTCTATGTGTTTGTTTTGCATAAAGATATGTGTGTATGTATATATGTGTGTGTATACATGCATATATATATATGTATATATACATACATATGCATACGTGTGTATATATATATATGTGTGTGTGTGGGTTAGTGCGCGTGTGTCTGTTCGCGTTGCTGGTTGTGTCTGCCTGCGGGGTTGAAGGTCTTGCTTGAAAGTCCGTCCGGCTATGGATGTGTGTGTCTGTGTATACTGTGTGGACCGGACTTGACAGGACTATGCTGTGCGAGTATCTAACAGTCACTAACCTGGGAGAACACAAGGTTGCCGTGCATATCTCATCACAGTATTTGCATGTATGTGCAAAGTCCCGCGGTCAGTCAAATGCTTGGCTGCAAGCATCCGTAGCGTAAACGTCAGATGACTTTAGATACCAGGAATCGGCGGATTCTGCCAGATGAAGTAGTTGTGATAGTATACATGGCCAGGTGAGCCATGATTGTATTTGTTGGGCAGCCATAATATCGTGTAAATGCCGTACGTCCCTAGATCATTATCACTTCGAGCATCCAAACTTGGCCGCTTTATGTTTCGGTTCTTCGGGGCAATCACAGGGACAGGCGTGAGAGCGTCCTTGGACCCTATGTAAAGCTTGATTGTGGTTCTTTTGAGCCGAAGTCCTCCAGTGTGAGACAGCAGATTTTGGAAACCAGCTGCTGTATGGTCGTTTGTAGCAGCCGAAGCTCCCGGACATGGCATGGACGCAGATGTGATGTCTTGCCATGGTTAAGCCCTCGTAAGCTTGGATCGCAACCTGCCAGAAATTGCTCAGCAATATCGTAGGTCAGCTGCATCTGACACCTGACATACAGCATAGGGGTGGCATGGCACCTGCACATTCGTCTCATTTAATGACTTTAGGCTTTAGGTGTTGTAATGATATGGAAGCTCTAGTGATTGTCGTTCTGAAATACGATACACGGTGTAATAAGGCATAGAGATTATTGTAGCCCTGCTAACCTTGTCTTCTGGTTGTTTCTGCAAATCCACTGGCGACCGTGCCCGAATCCAAATCATAGAATTTCCTTGCCCCTCTGCGGGAACAGTGGACTTTCCCCTTCACCGAAGAAGCAGATGCCACGTTCGTGAGCAGATTCAATCACACCTTATGCGATGCAGGGTGCTTTTGCACAACTTCGCCCATGACAGGGCGCCCTTGCCGGCAGCTGTTCATGTGCCAGTTGTGTGGACTGGTGGCGCAGGAAACCTCGCACTAGCAGCACATTCGGTGATTTTCGTGTAAGGCGCGTAAGACTCGAAGACCTGAGGCCAAGACGTCCGGAACTTGTATGTCCGCGCGTCAGTCGACAGCTACCCAGTCGGGACCATGCACACATGCCTACCTAGCCACTTTAGTCCTTCGTTGCGGGTTCAGCTGCTCGCAAAGACCCTAATTCTGCATGGAGCTTCGCACTTGTCCGTATAGAAGACATGCACTAAAATCCATATGTATGCAAGGTGCATGCTGTGCGCCCTGCGTCTTAGCCCGGTTCACACTCCAGCTTACAGATCTCATTCCCAGCGTGATACGCAAATGTGGAACGAAAAGCAAAGGATCAAGTTATTGTCTGGTCATGTGTTAATTAGGCAACTTCCAGCGCGGCGTCGCCTTGGTGGCTTCATGCAGGAACCTAGACCTTTTGTGATCAACAGCGATGCATGACGCATTCTCAGAGGCCTTCTTAAGCATTCTTGTCTGCTCCGTCTGTCAGAAATATGCCCTACCCAACCCTCCCTCAGTCGGCATTCCTCGAAGCATGTGCGAGAAAGCGGGAACAATTTGTTACGTCATCGCCCTCCGACTCTAAGCTCCGAAAAGCGCTGGTCACGTCGCCCCCTTCAATGTTCGGAACCTCTGTGTCTGTGCCAAGTCTAAACGGTGCAGTCTCCACCCCTTGCCTGACAAGGTTTCCCAGAAGCCCACTCACCCATGCATCAGGCGAGTGTCCCTTCGCAACCGTAATAGTGAAGCATTACATACGGGAACCCCAGCCAGAGACTCTGAGGCTGGTTTCTGGCGAGAGCTTGATGAACGACGGCACGGCCATAGTTGTTTTTGCACCTCGTCTGCCAGTGGCCCAGTTCCTTGAGCCCCCAGGCTTTTCGGGTCTGCACCGAAACTACCCGGGATGGAACGAGTTACTCTTGGCAGGCGTGGCAGCACGTGGGTCGAATCGAGACTCCACGTTCCAGGGAGTCCTCTAAGCATCCTAAGCTTCCAATGCCCTCTCATAGTTGAGTACCTAAACCCCCAAACCCTAAACCCTAAAGCTTCCAATGCTCTCTTATAGTTGAGTCCTTCACATAAATATGCACACCGCCGGCGGGATCCGTCAGGAAACCACAAGTCTGAAATCCGTGAATGGGAGGCCGACGGCGAAGGCGAAGGTTAGTATCAAAGATACGAAAGCGACGTATTAAACTTAGCATCGCTGGCTCCAGAATTGCAGCATGCATCAAATCAGACATCTTCAAACGCAAGGCCCTAAGGCGCTCAACATTCAATTATCCTCGTCATGTAGCATCTACCTGAAGCCCTAGATCCAAAAGCGCCCACCGCCGCGATCCCGCTGTTCTCAGGTGCTCATGCTCAAGGTGGTTCTTGGTGCCTCACTGGATGTCACCTCCGTGTTGAAATTCTTTGGAGACCCGGCATCGTTAACATACATGGTCTAGGGCAAAGTTGAGGCACGGCGATCAGGAATTTAGTCTGAGGCCAGGAAAAGGAACTTCCAACCTCTGACACATTTCACACATGCCGCCCCTAGAAGCCCGCTAGCACTTTCTGCCACTTTATGCTCCGATGGACGGAACGTGAAAAACGGAGCCCTCAGCCGCCGAGTTAACCTACCCAGAAGGACCTGGTGAAAGCAGACCCCCCGAGGCCACATGTCCTTGACCTCCATCGTCTTTGGCGGATTGGCAGGACTTCTGGCAGCCTCTCGGCTTAACTTACGTCCCACTGGGCTCGGTCCGTCGGGCTTAGGTTCGCTGACTGCTTTGATGATACGTTGCACCTGACAGAGCTCTCGGAGAGAGTGGTACAAAGACCTTGCATGTACTCAACCACTTCGAGAACGAATGGCATCGTGGACACCGGTATTATGTTGGGCCCTATAGGCCCTAAACCCTAAACCCTAAACCCTATAAACCCTATAAACCCAAAAACCCTATCAACCCTAAACCCTATAAACCCTAAAGGCCCGTTCTTAAGCCATACGAGGCCCTCTGAAACACAGACCAGACCTAAGGTGGCGATTATCGGCAAGTGCGCAGAGGAGCGGTTCCACAACGACCTCCTGGCCAAGAAAGGGGGGTGCCTTTTACCAAGGCCCTATGGGACTAGGGTTTATTAGTGTTTAGGGTCTAGGGTCTGGAATACAAGTGCCGAAGCTCAAAAAGCAAAAATCAAGGACCCTGCAGTGCTCCAGAGCTCGTCCTTTCAGAATCCTCCGCTCAGATCCTGGCACTCCGCGACTCGAGGCCTTTCGTTTCGCATGATGGACGATCCCACATAAACCTAGTTCTTTTTTGCAAGAGTTGTCCTAATTTTCGGACAAACAGCCCTGGAAATCATCAGCAAGGCGGAACATGAGTCGGGAAGTTATCAGCAACGCCCCCCCAAAAGCCATCGGAGACAAGTTTTAGATGTCCCGATAAGCCCTGCCCTACCAAAAAATCTATTCTGGGCCACCTTCCCACGAACCCCAGACATGCCTCCTACCAGGTCCTACGTAGGTCGTACCCACGCATCTACTTCCCTACACGCAAGCAAGTCTCCGCACTTGTGTTATGGATGCACCATTAATCAATACATAAGCCAGCCCCGTTAGCGACGTTTGTACCTCTCTGCCTGGCTGCTTACCTGCTTGCGTATTCTTATCGATTCTGCCTCACCTCCTCCTACATCTTCACCTTTACATGAAGCAGTATCCATTGATGTGTGCATGGGAGCAATCGCCGCCGTTTCCAAACCAAACAGTCCCGCAGCCGAGGATGCCTTGATTCAGGTCATCACCACGCTACAGGGCCGCCATGGGGTGGGGAGGGTAGAGCTTTCAACTGAAAAAGAGTGAGGGGGCAAAGCATCAGCGTGCCAGGTTCCACACGCAGAGTCGTGATTCAAGTGCAATGGCACGATACTTGCACACGGGTCCTACTACTAGCTGCGAATGAGACATCTACAGTCGAGACTCTAGACTCGAACCCAAAATCAACAGCAGGATCGCCCGTAACCGCCGTTTGCCTACGTGGTCCTGGGGCTTAGGAATCTCTTGGAGCCGTTTGCTCCGGATTCTTCAAGTAGGGTTCGCACGGCATCCGAGTTATGCTGTCGTGCAGTTGGTTGAAACTTCGTTCCGGATGAAGCCTGGATCTCGCCTGAAGCAGATGCCGTTCATCGCGCAACAGCCGAGGCTTTGCTGTGCTTACCTGGCCTTCTTTGTGGCTGAGAGTGAGCTGAGCACAAGTGGAGTACTGGCCCCTGGGTTGCCTTTAGCGTGCATCGGCGGCCTGGTCTGAGGATTCTCTACCATGCGGTATCCCTGGCAGACATAATCAGGCAGACCATGAGTGATTACAGCAGAAAGTTGAGAAGGCTAAGCTTTCAGGGTTGCCTTTTGTGCACTCTCGGTCTATCTCAGCCGGCTTTCGGACAGGATTGCTTTCGGAGGGCTCAAGGCAACAGACATGGAGGCTTCTGTGAACTCTGAAAGTCGTTTTGATTCGAAGGCTGCGGTCTGACATTGCAAAGACATCCTAGCATCCTGCGGCCGCACGTCGGACAACTTCGCTTTTGGCAGCCATTGTTGATCGCAGTAGAGGCTCGTGGTTTTGGGAAATGCGGTTTCGGAGCTTTCGGTGCCAGTTCCGAAGATGCCAGGGCGACATACAGTATAAGCAAAATGACAATGGCTCAATCTCAACGGTTAAGGCATGTTTTGAGATGTGGCAGTTGTAACTGCAAAGCGCTGAGCTAAGGCAACGGTTTCAGCTGGCTTCGCTGCTCCTTGGCGGGAACAGGTTTCAGTCTCCAGCCGAAGCACGGCTCGCTATTCGTGTTCAAGCACGGACTCACACAGGCGATCATGTGGACTGTACTGTAAGCTCAAGAGGTTTCCTGCACATACAGAAGGCTTGGTGTTGCAATGCCGTAGGGCCGAAGGCAGGTGGTCGGACCGCCTGCTCGGGACCACCACCGCCCATCCTACCCTCCCCAAGGACATGGTCAGGGGAAAGCCTGCACAGCATCGCAGAAGCGCAGAAACAAGTCTCGGCGAGTTTGTTGCTCCCGAAGTGTGCTACGGTGTAAGGTGGCCATCCTTGCATAGAATCCTGTGTGCGAGCAGTGTTTGTATTAGGAACCTCGCTTTGGCAGCAAGCGTTGAAGTCGTGGCCTGAAGCGACTGCAACCCAAACAGCCCGGCGACCGACTTCAAGAGAAGCTGACGAAGCCTCGGACAGCAATCGCGTCATGTCTTGCCCGAGTATGCAACATCCCGGCACAGGTCTCACCGTTATCACAATTAGCATGTTCAACATCCGCAACACTGATGATCAGCAACATGATTTGTCATGCCTATCGTTGCGGTGGCTGCCATAGTCCTAGAAGTCACCTTCGTCTCCTCGTTGTCTTTCTGTCTCTTATGCTTCGGCACCATCAACACCACGATGATAATAATAGTCACCATCACCAACAACATCGACAACATCACCTGTCGTTACCATCATCATCATCATCATCGCCGTCACCATCAACATTATCTTCTTCATCGTTGTAGCATAACAATCTATATAACCAGCAATGCCATTCATTCGCGCTAACACTATCAAGCGACAAGTCTTCATGTTCAATATCTTTTTCTCACCAGCATCAGCGTCGCCACCGGCTGCACGCGACTGTCATACTCACCGTCCTCACGACCATCATCACCTCCAGCATCATCATCATCATCATCTTCTTCTTCACCGTCACCATCAGTGTTACTTCTTTCTTCGCTATCAGTCAGTGTCATGCTCATCATCACACTGCGTTCACGATCTGCATCATCAACATATTTGTATCCATAGTAGACAGAGTGTTCTTCTTCATCGGGATCACCACCTCGAGCTTCTTCAGTTCTCTTAGCCGCGGCACTGCTGCCCCTGACGCAACTTGCGTCACAATGCTGATTATTTGTGGCGTCATCCCCAGCATCGTCAGTAGCAACTTTGGTACCATGGCTGTCGGGATTACCAACGTCTGGTCATCAACCACGCCGACCCCACATAATGTTCACCATCATCCTCGTCGTCGTCCGTGTCATTCTCATAGTGATCCCGATAGTGTCGAAAGCCTCAAGCTCGTTTGGCCGAGGTTGCCTACTATGCATGGCCTCGTTTCGTTTCCCTGGAGGCCAGATCACAACAAAGGTGTAGAGAGATTGTGATAACATGGGGTCGTGGTAAGCGGTTTCGGTTGCTTGGATAGGCGAGCATGCATCTCCTTCGGGATTCACTCCCGCTGCGATATTCTGCCGGCACAGGCGATGGAAATTGTTTGGGAGACCGTCGAGTTTGTCGGCAACACGGCCCCGCGCCCTAAAAGTAGAGCAATTCGGCCCTTGGCTTTATGCCGTCAGTTGAATGAGATGCACGTGTCTGGGAGGAGAAGCGACGATCAAGACTCCGATGTATCGCCTGGTAGCGTGCATCAGCACACTCCATTCAAAGGATACAAATTGCCACAAGTAGGATAAGCTTCTAAACCCTAAACCCTAAACCCTGAACCTTAACATGTCGGAGAAAGGTCATTTTCTTCCTCGCTGGCCTCCTCTTTGCCGATACCGTGCTGGAGTCTGCGATGCATTGGACACAATTCCCAAGTCCTTATCCCGAGCGTTTGCCGTGTTTGGGCTTGGGCCATCACTCCCATCGATTTTGCCTTGCATCTGCTCCCCGAAATTTAAACTCCATACCTCGCGTGTTTGCGGGGCCGTATGACTCCATGCACATCAGGATTCCCTGGGCATTATCCACCTCAGCGACTTCGGCGACTCGGAGTGCAAACCAGGGCGAGATTCTCTAACCCCCAAACCCCCAAACCCAAAACCCTATAAACCCTAAACCCTATAGGCTTCGGACTTCGGAGCGCTGCGTAGCAGGGCCCTTAGGCCTGCGACCGCGGTGCCTGAGTGGAACCTTGGTTTCAAGAAAAGGCGGCTCCTAGGCCTGAAACCCGGAACCCTAATTACGCGGCTGCTCGTTAGGCATCCTTTTAGGGTTTAGGGTTTTAGGGTTTTATATAGTTTGTAGGGTTTTTGAGCATCTCAAGGTCGGGCTTTTTGGTTCTAGTGGTGCTTTCTGAATCTCAAGCTGAACTCGAGTTGAATTTGGGAGTCCGCGGCTCCTGGCGCTCTCAAGGCTACCTTGTGCTGGTCTACATTGCGCTCCTAGTAATACGATCCCTCATGCGGCCTGGCTTTGTTCTTGAGACTGAGAGATACTGAGAGGATCAAGCCTGAAAAGCAAAAGGACCTGCACAGATTTCTCTGGCACCCGCTGCATTACAGCGGTTTGCAGAGCTGAAAAGGGAAGGAAAGGGAGGTGTTCCGCCGGTCATGATATGCCATCTTGCGTTTCTAATGCTCCGGGTCCTGCAATTGAATCCTCAGAGGCTCCGGAGGTATCGAGGGCATGGCAACCTAGTTGCCATTCTTTGGCAAGATTCTGGCTTCATGACTGCCTGCTACAGCACTCCTAACTTCATCAGAGGCGTCCAAGCTATCCGCATGGAGTTATCAGCTCTTTTCAGGCAGTCCACATCTCAAGCACCGCATTAAAGCGATGATGCCAAGGATGGCGATTCTGTGGATTCCGCTCAACCAGGTGCCGCACTCAGCGGAACATATTTGCGTCCAATTGTGCAGAAGCGATATGCGGGCGTATGCGTGTACATCTTATACATGTTTATCTATCTCTCTATCTATCTACTTACCTATCTATCTATCCATCTATCTATCTACCTATGCATATATATATATATATGTGTGTGTGTGTGTATGAGTACAGGTTACATATACATCCATGCATGCATGCATGCATGCATGCATATATGCATACAGACTACATACATGAATACATGCATACACACATGAATACACACAGGGAGACAGAGAGAGAGAGAGAGAGACAGAGAGGGAGAGAGAGCGAGAGAGACGGACAGAGAGAAGTGATGGGTGCATTCACTTTGCGTTTCCGCGTTTGTATGCTCGTACCCTACAGCCCATGAGCAAAATTAAGTGGTCCTCGTCGAGCCCGAGACTCCTTCAGCCCACGAAGGGGGGGCCAAATTGGCCCTCCTGTCCAGGAGTGTGAGGCCTTGTACTTCAGGATCCTAGGGTAAACTCCACAGACATGACTGAGAATCGTAAATTTTCCGGCTATTTACGGTACACTTTCGGCCTCACTCGGCTCGAGTGCCGGGAGACGTCTTCGAGCGCTTCAGAAAGACCCGAACCCCGCAACACTCCGTAAACTGCTAACGGCTCAGCCAGAAAAGCTTTCATCATAGAGTCATAGACTTCCCAAGTTTCGCCAACCATAATAAACAAAATCATAACTATCATATCCATGATGACCTTGCAGAGCCCAAGCGCTGCAAAGCCCACGAGGTCGGCTCCCCGGTGGATCCACGTGAGGCCATCGCCATGATCTGGAGTGGACTTCGAGGTGCAGCCGTCGTGACGGCTTGAAGGTGTAGGATTTCGGGTTCATAGGGTTCAAGGCGTTTGGGGTCTGAAGGGTTTCGGGTCAATCCTTTATGGCATAGTCTTGGTGTGTAGAGTTGAACTCTGAACTTAGGGGCGTCGGTTCGGAACACCTCGCAAGGAAGGAACAGGGCTTCCGAGAGAATGATTGTTTTCTGAGTCACAGGGCTTGGGGATGGGGGGGGTTCTCATTCCCACGTCGGATCTACTGTCTTCATTGATGGTCGCCTCGGGCTTGCTTGCGCTATATTCTTCATCTGTGCGCGCATCCAGCGTGTTCTAGATTTGCCAGGATACATATTGTTTCCATGTTCGTCTATCTAGTCCTATAACTACACGTACATACCTCTGCGCATACGTACAAAGACGCACACTCGAAACTCGGCAGGTGCAGTGAGTTTGACCTTGGCGATCATCATCGACGAGGAGCCACTGGTCTCGAGGCCGGTGCTAAGCAAGTCTGGATCCAGAGCCCAGGAAAACCGCAGCGGAGGACTGCGGCTTAATTCGTGGTTTCAGTAGTGCTTTCTACAGCCAAAGTTGTCTGGTTCGGTGCACATGCTGTCGCTCTGAACCTGGCAAAAAAGTCTAGACTCAACAGCCGCTGTTGCGATCCATGCCACAGCCCAATTCATCCTCGCATCACTTCCCACAGCGCCTCGACCTTCCATGATCTCTGTCCACGCGCCTCTTCTGCAGTTGCAATTATCTCTTTCCCCTGGCATACATAGGAGCCGTACAACACCCGAAAGCCAGACTTGGATTCCCAAATGCCCCAGATAGTTCCCTTGCTAAGACGACCCCGAAGCAAGAAATCACGTGGAGGGAGATGGGCGCGCGCATCATGTTCCACGTGGGTGGTATCGCTGCGCTGACGCTGCCAGACATGCACAGCATGTTTTCTTGAGGATTGGAGCCTTTGCTCGGATTGTAAATAGACAGTTTCGGGCAAGCAATGAATCGAGATGCCTAGGGCTTAGGACAGAGAGCATGTAAGTTTGGGACGTAACATGCAACCTGTTGAATAGGCTGAATAGGGATGTAAACTTTAGTCGTGACTGCCACTCAGACGCCAGCTTCCAGCGATGTCCCTCATCATAAAACCGTGCTGTGCCAACAAGGGCTGATTCAGCTCAAAGGGATCAGATACCATCATTCCCGTCAGCTGCACAGCAGCGTGCGCGCCGATTGGTCTTTGCTTGCTGGTGCCCTTGTCTTCGAAGCGTCGCTCTGGAAGAAGCAGCCCAGCCTCCCTGAAACCCTCCGAAGAGCCATGGGTGGCAACTTTAGTTCCCACCTGCAAAGCAAAACCCTTGGGACAAAGACTAAATTAGAGCAACGGCTGCAAAGCTTGGTGCGGACTGTCCGTGAAGGGCGGGCTGAACAAGCTTAAACTTAAGGCAACGACAGCAACCGAAAGGGCTGATCCGCTAAAGCCCCTTGTTAGCCTTAAGCCCCAAATCTTATAGACATTATCTCTCCAACTCCCAAGCGTCCCAACCTGTAAAGTTCACAAGTCCACCCAGGCTTCTGATCAATGCGACGACTGCGGCACCGCTGCTGCGGGCACTAGGACTTGCGAGGAGCGCAAAGCAGAAGGGTATAGGTCAAATTCTATATAATGATCTACAGGGTTTAGGATTGTGGTGTCGGAAGGTTGAGCGTAGGCGGTTTCGGATTTCAGGATTCTGAGCTTGTGGAGTCTAGGATAGCTCTTCGAGGTTCAGCTTCGCCTATGGTGGGCTGTACACGGAACGTGCTGGATGGCTCATGGCGCACAGGAATTGCGGCGTTCAATTTCAAGGCCAGTTTCCAGTGCAGCGACTCACGAATTTCGTCGCACACGGTATTCTTGGTGGCATGCCTTAGCTTTGGCCTCTAACTCTAACCCGTGAAGCGTTCCTGCACCCACTACACTCAGTGAAAACTCGACGAGAAACTCGTGTGCGCAACACCACAACATGCACTGTCAGCATCTCGAGGAAGATCATGAATCACGTTCGGGTACAGACGGAGTGGTACGTGCGCTGAGAGTTTTTTGGCCGGCTGGCCCATTGGCTATACTTGCCGAGTCGTATATCTGTTCCAGCATATTCTAGCAACTAAGCGACCGACGGCGAGCGATTCCTCAGGAGCTCTCGTGCAGACGAGAAGAAACTGGCTGTGCTCTCGAAACATCTGGCCGAGCACACTGCTCACGCTGTGGCGGCTGTGGCCTGGCGACCAAAACGTGAGAACGGCTTGTAGCAGCTACACGGAAGAGTGCTGTCAGCAGCGGTAGCTTTGTCGCAATAGTGCAGAAGATGATGAGCTGAAGGGAGGCCTGCATGCTTCAACGGGACGGCACGACCAGTAGACCCTAAGGCTTTACTTTACACAATGTAGCCTCTGCGTGGTGGTACTGTTGGTATCAATAGCAGCAACATGCATCTACGAATTCAACGAATTCCTCTGCAAGCCAATGTAGTTTACAGCATTCAACACTGGTGCTACGTTCCTGTGTGCATGTATATAATATATGTACATGTGTACATATATATACACACACACGCAGATATATATATATATATATGCATATATAGACGTACGTTCTTACCTGCGTATATCAGCTGTCTCTTGCAATCTGGGGCCCCTATAGTAGAAGGCCAAAGAGGATACAACCGACCTTCGCTTCTCCGGCGCAGATGAGGCGAGGGCTCTTTGCTTGATTTTTTTCCGATGTGTAGGGCGTCCTGGGGCTGTGGAAAGGGTCAATATCCAATATCCTCGTGTCTTTGCAGACCCTTCTTGGTATGCTTTTGGGGTCGAGGGAGGGGCTGTGAGAGGGGCTGAAGCCCCGGAATCCTAGAGTTGCCCCTCCTCAGTGCGTGAAGGAGTGGGCAAAGTTCGAGTTGATGAAGACATTGAGAGCGTCCGCTACGTTACAGAGAGGGGTGTTGGAACACGGCTCCCTAGAATCATCCTGGTTGAACTCGATGAAGATGATGAACCCGAATATTCCCGCGGCAGTAGCAGTGGGAACAGCAGTAGAAGTAGCAGTAGCAGTAGGAATAGCAGCAGCAGTAACAATAGGAAATGAATATTGGTAGCAGTAGCAGCAGGAATAGCAGTAGGAGTGGCAGCCGCAGTAGCAGTAGGAACAGCAGTAGCAGCAGCGGCAGTAGCAAGAGCAGTAGGAATACCACTAGCTGTAGGCGTAGCAGTAGCAGTAGTAGTGGCACAGTACTGTGCGTGGTAGCGGTAGTGGAAGGCGATTCTTCGGGAGATGGTCCCAGAGCTTTCGCAGGAAGTCGCTGCAGAGGCCCGAGCTCGTCGTGCTTCTATTTTAGGGGTTGAGGGTTTCAGGGGTTTAGGGTTCAGGGGCTTAGGGGTTTAGGGATTTAGGCGTTTAGGGATTTAGGGTTTAGGGTTCTTTTGAATTTGGGTTTGGGCGCTTGTGGTTTGGACGGCGGGTGAGGCAGCAAAAGCCACTTGAGACCCTAAGCCCCTCAAGACTGTACAAATAAGTCACGAGATCTCAATCCCGGGAGCAAGCAGAACCACATCCCGAACCGGTGTAATCCCGAAAACCTCAACACGTCTTGCACGGAAGCCGACTTGGAGCTTTTCAATGGACAGGTTCCCAGGGATGCTGGAGGCGAAACGGCACAGGCCTACCGAGAGGCATTCTTGAACGTTGTGCGGGTCCCAGGCTGCAATGGCACGTAGGGCTAATCGTTAAGCGCTTCGCATCGTCTGCCTCGGCCCGGCTGTGCTTGAAGCGGGTGAATTGTTGCGGAAAGCAACAGGTAGGTCACACAGGTCAGGTCTTGCATGAAGGAGTGCATTTGCTTCAGAATCTGTTTTTCATGTCAGTGTTTGATTCCAGGCTGAGGCTCTGAGCAATAATCCCACGCGAGAGGTGGCACATTCCATGCATTATCCTATAGACGTTACTCTAAACATCGCAGTACACGTCTCACTACAACGGCCCATAGTTGAAGGGGCACGCAACAAAGTACCCCAGAACTGCCAGGCTTTGGCATCAGCTTCACGAATGATGTAAGCTAGCCTGTTTTGCTTCGCCCGCCGCAAGGAAGGGGTTGGGGCGGGATTAAGATAAAGAGGTGGGGAACAGGCAATCCCTGTGGGAACCTCTGACCGCTTCGGCCGAAACCCAAGGCGAATTAGGGCTTTCAGGCTCTTGTCGGGGTGTCGTGACATTCAATTGACATGGCTAGGAGGTGATGCAAGGATTAAGCCCTCTCAACCCGAATTTCTGAAGCTGGAGAACGCGATCGCGGTTCCCCGAGGTCAGGAGCCACTACAGCTCTGCCATCACGAAGGGTCGCTTTTCGAAAATTCAGTCTGAAAGCAGAGCTGGTAGGTCCCTGATTGCGGTTGCATCCCGCTCATGCGACTCCGGCTTGTATTGTGAGACCATATTATCGGCTGAATGCCGGCTAGGTCGTGGGATCTCGCAACAGCTCCGAATCTTACCAGGTCTTCCATCTATTCAGACTGATTTTGGAGTGAAGCTGTGCGCTTAGACAGCCGAGGCATCCTGCCGCGCACCTCAGAATCCGCAAGGCACGCTCCTCCGACAGTGATGTGGGACTTCCCCCTCTCTGTAGATACTCGTAGGTCAACAGCTTCATCGCGGTCGAGCAACCTACGGCGGTCCGTCAGGTCAAGAAACAGTCGAATTCGTAAGCGTAGTCTGCAGTCAAGTAGAATCGCCAGTCGGCAGTACTAAAGGGCCGGTCGGGCCATCGCAGGCAAGTCGCGAGGAACCAGACAACCTAAACCCTCACCGCAAAGCTTGAGCACATAGCATTCGCCAAGCCTTGGAGCTTACCTCAGCATCGTCCTCAAGGCCCTGCGTCCTCGAGGCCCCTATGCCTCCCTCCCAGAAGGTTCCGAGCCCATGAGAAAAACAGTTCAAGATCTTCGAGACTTGGAGGGTTAACTATAGTATACTGGTCTGCTGAGGATCCTGGGATGGGGGTACATGACATGGTTCCCCTGGAATCCCATCGGTGCCAGAATTGGCCTGGGTGCTTCAGCGAGTTCAGCCAGTGTTCATGCAAGATCGCAGGTTGCTGCTTAGCTCCGTGGATGTCGCCATAGACAGCGCCCCCGAGACGCCTGGCGAACCAAGCAGACAAATGGCACCGGCTGAAATCCTCTGCAGTGGGGATAGTTCAGCATGAGAGCGCAACTTGTAGTCCTGAGATGGAGAACTGTGGCGAATAACAGATGACTAGCAGTATCGGTAGCCAACCGTGGTTCGTGCTCGGTCGAAGAGCACAGCATTCACAATCCGTGTGCACCAAGGATTCTGAAGGCAGCTTGGCAAGCAAAACTTCACTGGTTGAACCATGAGGGACATGAGGGAGGAGACTAATGCGAGGCAAATATAGGAGGAACAATTGAATGATGAGAATAATCATCAGGCAGAGGAACAGCTTCAATAGCCTGTCCTAGTTGTCATAATGCCCGTCATGGCAGTGTAAGGTGGTCAAGAACGTGTCTTTCTGCCAGATAGCAGAAGAGAAACCCTCCAAGCCGTAGCATAGCCGGAAACTTGTGAAGGTCTACTACGCCAGCAGCACAGCTAGTGTAGTCACGGTCTTCGTCATGAACGTGGCATGCTGGCAATATCAGTGTGTCCCCTTTTGAGAATCTTCCGCGTCTACTTCCGAAGTAGAGAGCCCTCAACTGCAGAAGCGATCCGAAGTTCGTTGCCGATAAGCAACCTTTTCACTGTCGAGTCAGCGGGCTCGATGTAAAGCCCGCTGCAGGATTGGGCATTCATCCACGATGCCCTTGAGCCACATGGCTGCGGATGCGAGGGTCTAGGGTGTAGTTCGGGCATTTAGTTTTTCGGGTACATAAGGCGTCGTCTGATGGTCTCTTGGGCTGGGTGCGAGCCGATTGCTGATGTCAGAATTACAGGGGATAGGGATCAAGAAATTAATGAGGATTACGTAAAATGAAGTTAGGACAGTTAGGATGAACAAAATTAAACTAGCAGGAACATAGGCAGGACGGAGGGAAGGACGGAAGGAAGGAAGGAAGGAAGGAAGGTCATTGTAAGCTTTTGAGCTTGCATTTACAGCTTGCAGCTTGCTCGCCAAGAGGTTTTGACACGGCACCTTCGGCTTTTTCGTCTCATGGCAGGAGAGTGTCTTCGATCCCATCTTCGTGTTCAGGCCACCTCTGTTCATGTGCTCAGGACGTCACAATAAAATTCCTTGCCAAGACTCACGATTTTGCCAGCGTGCTGCGTTGGCAGAAAAGTCACACTCGCTTCAGATGCGATCAAGTCAAGATTTGGCTAGCGCACCCAGGAGTCGCTGTAGTCATGAAGGGAAACTCCCTTCCTCGAACCACGAGACGAAGAGAGAGAGAGAGAGAGAGAGAGAGCTAAGGGCGCCCAAGAACCAGCTGGCTCGCTTGGCCGGCGAGTACAGCATGGATGAGACGATGCAGAAGTCATACTGCGTGCCTGGCTTCAGTTCAGTCGGTAGTGTATAGCGTTTTTTTCTGACATTGGTCTCTTCAGCCAGCAGAGTCAGGGTTGGCCTGTGCCGAAGCGCATAAGACCTGCTTCCCGTTTCTACAGTTTTGCAGCATGCGGACTGTAGGGAGGCCAAGAGGACCAAGTAGTGCTGCTTCAGACCTCTACCTGACGGTTCAGTGAGACATATAACTCCGTTGCGGCATGCTACGATTTCATGCATCGGGGCAGCCCGCTGTGTCTAAGACGGCTAGTTATGATCCTATTTCTCATCATGAACTAATTGTGCAAGCGAGGCTGTTTAGGATCCCTTGCAGACGTCTGTACGGAGTCAGGTGCTGTCGTTCCTGGAAGCACATCGTCAAGCAAGGGAGGATCTGCCCCGTCGCCTGGCTTGCAACTTCTTTTCAGCCCTCGGCCCTGAGCCTTAGCCTGAAGAAAAAAACCAACACCTCTTTTGGTTCCTACCTCCCGAGGAGAGTGGGGGTAATGATGCAAAGCCAGCTATTGTGTGCTATACACTATAGAGGTTGTTGAATGAGTTTTGTAGGGGGTGTGTAGGGTTTGATGAGGAAGTAAGGATGTTGTGAAGGTGTTATTTTGCATCAATAAGGGTTTTGGGGTGCTTGGGAGCTCAGTAACCCTGTCCCCTTTACGGCCCGTGTTTGAGTTTAGTGTAATATTCCCGAAACACCATTCTAATTATCAAGTCCCTTCTATTAGGAAATGGCGCAATGTACTGATTTGGAACAGTTGGGGCCTATAGTGGTTCAGTTTGGAACGGCTCATGTGTGTTGCGTGGGGCTGGTTGGTTGGATCTCAACATATGCAGAAAGACTTCCGATGCAACATACCTTGGGGAGGGTGGGATGGTCGCGCACGAAGGACCCTTTCTGTGCAGCTGTTTCCGTACTCTGAGGTGTCTTCCAGGGTATCTGAAAATGTTCTGGAAGGATTGTTCACAATCGGTCACAACTATAAAGGTGGGCTCTTAGTTACGTTGAGACATCAGATGTTGCCACCTGTTCAGGATTCTTCCACAATGACAGCGTGGAGGCATCTTATCTGGCAATGATGTTGCGAGTACAAGCAAGAATCACAGCAGCAGCAATGACAAGATCGCGGAGATGAGGAAAAATCAGACTACTGAAACCTGTGCCGCAAGTAATTCGGATGTAGGATGATTACCACGACGATGATGATGACAGCAGCAGGGTTGTTTTGTTGCCCAAGTGTGGTATAACCTGCTTGGGGCTATCAGGAACTGTGCTACTAGTAGCACTACAGGAAGATACAACGCACACGAAAAAGAGCGATATTGATAATCTGCTTCAAGTCATCGCAGCATATCCAGCTCAGGCCGCAAATCTCTAAACCAGGTGGAGGGTTGCAGGGCACAGCAGTTGAAGCCCCGAGAGTCTTGAGCCATGCATCCTACAGGCCACATCTTTGTGTGTTTTTTTCTCTGCTATACTCTAGTATAGTTGCTTCTGTTGTCTTCTTTCGACCGGACCTATGTCGGCGGCTTTGACAGTAAGCTGTAAGTTCACAGAAGTTTAATGCAACTTTTTTGCTCCTCGCAAGGTCCAAGACCTTGTGGCTGCCGAAAGCACCGCCGAAGCACTGGAGGCAGCAGGGAATGCCTTGAGGTACCGGGGTTCCGGGTGTGGGAGTCAGGATAAGTTCTGTTCTTCGAAGTTTGAGGCTCCAAATTGAGAAGACAGTGGCTTGGTGAGGGGATATAGGGTGTTGGTTTCACGGTCTAGCGAGCGGGATTTGGTGCGACTTGATGTCAGCAGGGTTGCGGCGATGTGACATTGACTCAACAACCGAAACAATGCAAATCCTGGTGGAGGCGACGCGACTTCTCCAGGGACTTCCCAGCGATTTAGTGACGTTGGCCAGGCGGCGATGGTCACTGGAGTAGCCCTGTAAGACCAGTTATTCATGCAAAAGTTTGCTGTGGTGTAGTTAGATAATACCCAACTATAGGCACAACTGACCTACCATAGACACTGGGACGGACAGATGTGTCTCATCAGGCAAGGGGTGCGAGCCACATCTTCTTTGCTGAAGCTATGCATACACTAAACACCCAAGCCTGCAGCAAAAAACAAACGCAACTTCACATGCCACGTGTGAATGGTTGACGGGTTGAGAGAGCCTTGTTGTCCCGTGGCTGTACTGGGGGGGGGGGTTGAGGATTCCGGTTGTGCTTGCGACTTGCTGGGTTTTCTGAACAGGTTGGACTGTGGCCAGGTCCTTTAAAGGTCAGCAGAAGGCTTTCTGCATTCTGGGCTCTGGATTCCGCATGAGATGCTGTTCCAGCTTACCAGGGATGTTGAATTGGCTGCATGAGCTACTGACCTGCCTGGACCCCTAAGCCCCAACGCTTGCTTCAAGAAGGACGGAGATGCTGGCAAGGAAGCTGCTACAGGACTTGGGGAATATGTTGATCCTAGCATTTCATACTTAGCATGGAGGAACTGCAACTTCCAAGACAGTATTCTTGTGGCAGCTGCTGCTTTTTTTTGCGATGGCTGTGTCCACATCGGTCGCTGCTGCTGCTCCTCCTTTCCCCCTTCTGTTCGTCTCCTCCCCTGGCCTCCTGACCCTTTGCTGCTAGAGCCCAGTTCTGGAAGAAAGTCCTGCAAATGCAGGCCGCTCCCGCCCTCGCCAATGGAAAAACTGATATGTTTTAGATATCGCTTTTGATGTTCATTGGATGCTGAGCTTGCAATCGGCTGCAGCGCTGTGCAGATTCGTAGTGAAGCAGACACTGTCTCAGAGACTGCAGGCTCCCTCACAAACCTGAACCCCACTTCGAGAAAACACCCATTCGGACCTAGTGAGGTTGCTGTTGCAGTGCTGCATAAGATGGCTCTGAGAGCAGATGTCTTCACAAGAGGGCATGACACCAAATCCGGTCACAGATCATTTTGGTTGGTCCCCCCCTCCGCTTGTACTTCTGGAGCTCTTAAACCCTATAAACCCTAAACTGGAGCTCTTCCCTTGAGAGGAGCAGCTGGACGAAGTTGCGGAGCTGAAGGACCTCGGGAGTTCAGTGATGATCAGAACGTGAGGTTGCTTGGGATCTTGAGTCTTGCAGTGCATTACCAAGCTCTCACGTATACGCATACATACATACATACACACACACATACACACACACACATACATACACATACACATACATAGACATAAACATACACATACATAGACATAAACATAGACATAGACATAGACGTGCACGTACACGTACACGTCGACATACATATACATATACGTACACATACATACATATACATACATACACGCATACATACGTACATACATACATACATACATACATACAGACACACACACACATATATACATATATATATACACATACATAAATACGTACATACATACATACATACATACCTACATACATACATACATACATACATAACTAATTCCGCTGTGTGTGTATATATGTATAATATATATACATACATACATACATACATACATACATACATACATACATAGTTATATTATGCAGTCTACCGACAGCCCATCGCCAAATAGTACATAAAGCTCCTACGTACACGCATATATATGTGGGCGTATATGTATGTGAGTATACATACATATATATGTATATGTGTATGAAAGCATGCTACATTGACATACATGTGTGCAGAAGCACATGTGTGCATCTGAAGATGTAGAACTACTTACTGGTGTATGTATGTATGTATGTACGTACGTATGTATGTATGTATGCATGCATGTGTGAATGTGTGTATGTTGAATGTGTGTATGTCTGTCTGTCTGTCTGTCTGTCTGTCTGTCTGTCTGTATGTATGTATGTATGTATGTATGTATGTATGTAATCATGCATGCATGCATGCATGCATGCATGTATGTGTATGTACATATAAATGTATACATATCATACCTATGTATCACATAAACGAACATACAAAGAAGACACGCCCCAAATTGCTTCTGTACGTCAAGCCCTCACGACCACATTCTCTGCAACTTACGGCGAGGAGAGGGGTCTCCTCACGTCATCGGATGCTTCGAAGTCACCCGGCCGGTGGCGAGCGCGGGGTTCTGTTCCACTGAGTTTTCGGGTTCGATTGCTACTCGCTGTTATTCTTCGTTTGCTTGATAATGCTGGTGTGCTTGTTCGCCGTTGTTGTGGTCCGTGGTTGTTGATTGTTGCGCGTTCTTTGATAATGCTTGTTTGTTTGATTGGCGTTAAGCATTTTGAGTTTGATTAACTGCACAGTGATTCTGACCTTTACCGTGCTGTTCGCTGTCGTGCTCGTTGTCGTATTTTTGTTTGGCGGCGTCACCACGTCCTCCTCGCTTCGTTTGTTGTTTGCTGCTGATGTGCCTACCTCTCCAAAGGCCCAGCCGACCCCAAAGCAAACCTGAAACAAGGTGCTCTGAAGGCTACTGTAATCCCGCATGTCACAACCACCACGGCCACCACAAACGGAAAAAGACAGCGCCAGCAACAGCATCGGCAGTGACAACAACAACAACAACAGCAACGACAACAACAACAACAGCAACGACAACACTGTTTGCCGTAGATAAAAAGTCTACACTCGCACCAGCGATGGAAACAGAAACAACAACCTCTCCAGCACCAGCACCAGCACCACAACCAGCAACGGCAACAGCAACCCCAGCAGCAATAGCAACACCACCAGCACCACCACTACCACCAACACCAGCACCACCAGCACCGGCACCGGCCCGGCACCGGCACCCCCACCACCACCACCACCACCGCCACCACCGCCACCACTACCACCACCACCACGGCGAGGACGGCGGGGCTACGACGACAACGACGACCACAACAGCAACAGTCAAAGCAACAGCAACATAAACGAAGGCATGAAGGATTACTGTGTCGTCACCTTCATTTCATCTTCATCACCGTCATTGTCATCATCTATGTCTTTCCAAAGCAGGGAGTCCTTGTCTAGCGACGCCAACAGCATGCTCCTTGGCGTGTCGACCGCTCAAGGCGGGCTAGGCCCTAATGCCCACGTTGTATCATCGTCATCATCATCATCATCAGCAGCATCACAATCACAATCACGACAGTGTCAGCATCCTCGTCATCGAAATTGTCTACATGTTGTCATGATAGCCATTTTAAACATCTTCTCATCATCACCACCGCCGCGCCAACCACCACCAACACCACCAGCAGCGCCAGCAGCACTAGCACCGTTACCACAACCAACCCCCACCCCCACCACCACAACCACCACCAGCGCCAGCACCAGCACTACACCACCATCACCGTGGCCACTACCGGACGGCGACTAACTGCCAGTTGGATACATGACCAGGCTTCATTGTCAACAACTGCTACCACGTCAACAGCAGAGGTAGCACAGACAGCAAACCGAAACAGTACATGTGGCAAACAAGACGCAATCCCCCACGCTTCCCTCTCCCGACAAAAGCAAAATCATCAGCACGAGCCACAAACGCTCCTACAACACACCTGTCGAGACGCAGCAGCCCCAAAAACTTACCTTGACGTCTCGCTGAAGGCTAGACCATCGTGTTCAGTCTTCCTTACTCAAGCTGCTGCGGCAGCCAAAGAGTCAATGGCTGCAGAGCAAGGCAGCTGCAGTAACATTGCATGTGTTGCTACACCGTGAGAGTTGGGATGTGTAGGATGCCGTTGGGTGTCGACTGAGTGACTCGTCATTGAGTTCAGTAGTGGGAAAATGTCTCCTCTGCGGCAAGGCGGCGGCACAGCTGTGATGACTGCTTCTTGTACATCAGCAGGCAGAATCTGGGTCACCAGGATGTCGCCAATGTGTCCAACATTTTCTTCAACATGGTGTTGCTGAGATGCATGGGAACTGCGGGAGATTGTGTTTGGGATCACTCCTGCTTTCGGCTATACGATGATTTCGTTGAGGAAGGAGTTGACGGTACGTCTTGGACTTCCAGAGCTTCAGTCGTCCGATTCTCGGATAGAATGTGTCGATGCAAGCCCTGCTGTTTGCCAGGCACTGCCAATTCTCGGTGCCAGCTGCCAGCTGTGGAATGTTGAAGCAAAGGTTCAAAACACGGCGCAAATTCGCCAACGAAAGTTC